GAACGCAGCCGAGGGCACTGTTTGGTTTAGGAGGGGCAATTTCCACTTTCCCTGGTTCCTTTCGCTGTTTCTTGTCAACGAACAGGTCTCATCTTGGTGACAACGACGTCGATGAAGGATGGCCTCACGCGGACGGTATAGGTTGAAAAGAAGTGCTTGCTCCTTGCTGCGCTGTTCAACTTGGGAGAGGCATTTCACACCTTCGCTAGTTGCTTTCGTTGGTTTATTTTAATTGATAGGTTACTTTTCAGTAACACCTGCAAGCTCCTGTGAAGGTGTGAAATGGTATAACTGACTCACTTCGGTTACAGTAATTGACAGGTTTTCACCCACTGGCCTGAATAAATCTCACTAAGTATCATTTCGGTGCCCCTATTAGGGCAACTGCGCCCAGCTAAGTAGCAGGGAACCAGGTGCATGAATATCCCTTATTTCGTCGTGGAAAATGATGTTTATCGCGGCAGTCCGTTATGCGAAGGTTATTACGATTGCTAACTTAGATAAGTTCGAACCTCGAACCCGGACCTCACGTTTATCGAACTGAGGTTCTAACCACCTCTGTGGTTAGCACGTAGTTAGCACCCTAGCCAAGTTGCCGTGTGATACAGGTGAGTATCAGCTGGCGCCAGACATTTCTACCTCAGGGTGCACCATTGTTCAGCGAATCCCACAGGGGGCTTTGTTCTAGGCCGGTGGGAAGAGGAGTATTACTTGGTCGACGGGGTTGCATCTGATTCCGGTTGATTTTTTGAGCCGCGACAAAAATTTTTTCCGGTTGTTGACATTACGCGATTTTGATTTTCGTAGTATCCGCGCACAATGGCAATTTATGTTGGGGGGGGGGGGAGACAAGGGGAACTTTTTAGAAAAGTGGGAGAAGCGGTAGGAAATGGGGGAGAGTAGGTAGGTAGGTAGGTAGGTAGGTGAAGGGAGACAGAGGAGGGATCTTCGTAGATTCGTAATGATACCGCCGTTTAACACATCCTGATGCTGTACCCTGCTTACCTATAGCTAAAAATTCCTATGGTGCCTAATATTCACCCAATATTGGGTTTTTGAAGGTGCACTAGGCGCTTACCTACGAGTTGGATCTTTGTAATGAGCGCAAATGGGTTCCCATAGGTGGAACTGCACCACTTACTTTAGCCATTTGAATATGAGAGGCATTAAAGACAGCGCCCGCGATGGACTTTGGCAGGTTTTAGGGGTCAGATTTGTTAGAACAGGTGGCAAATGAAGCATTAATCAAAAAAGCAGGAAAAAAGGTGTGCAAGAACATGAAATAAGACCCTATTCGATCTAAGGCATCTGTGGTTCTCCAATACACGTCGCCGCCTCGTTGCGGCTAATTCTAATGAGCCACTACCTAGGTTATCTAATCTAATTATCCACGCTGGCATGATAATCGATGTGTCTATGAGTTAATCTGGTCTATCAGTGTACGATACAAACGCTAGAAATTTAGCGATCAAAGCAGCGAGTATTGGTAACTGTTAACCAGTCGGGGCGGGATTAACAGGACAGGCGAGTCAGCTTAGCATTGCTGACTCCACCTTCGTCAATCAATCGATCTCGAGCGCTAGGATGGGATATCCGCTGTGGTTGCGGACTTCGCGATCTTGTGCAGTCCAGAATTTTTTTTTTCACTTTGGTTGATCGCGGACGCTGCCTTTAATGAAAAAGGCTAGCGAATAATGGCTATGTACAGTTTGAGTCTCCGCCTCATAGAAAAGCAGCGCAGACACGTGACTTGCCGCATAATCAAGGCCATTACCCGTACGCGAACAGCGCTGCTCGTCTGCACCCTCCCACGCTTGTTTTTTTTTTTACTTTGTCTGCGGATTTTCGCTGCGGACCCTTGCCGTCGATAGAAAAGCTACTCCTTTGAAGTAGCATTGGCTGGTAGGTAAACGGCATGTGCTTACATTACCTTTGGCCTCATTTCGGTGTCACAATTTCCAAGGGTGAAAGTCGCATGTGAGGGAAAATCTCGGCCAGGAAGCATACCAGTCGTCTCTTTAAGTTATCATTCAATTCCATCAATAAATAAAAGTATGCTGTTCAAGCCCTGCTCGACCGAATCCTATGATGGCTTGGATGTGCTTGTCGACCATATAGAAGTTGTCGATTCCTCTCCAGGAGAAGTAAGCAATATTTGTTCATTTTCTTTTTTTTTTTTTTTGTAAGGAATACGTGTACATATATGGGGTTATATTTAGTGCAGCTGTTTTCTGCAACATGCTGAAGAACGCGTGGTACTTCAAGCAAGATCGCAATGAGAAATATCCGCTAAGGGGTCACCAAAGTAAGTCTTGTTTTCTTTGAACTGCTTATAACTAAAATTGTATGATTGCAGTGTCTATGTCAAGCACGATCGAACTTGGAAGTTTCAGAAGAACACTGTTGTTGCCACATGTGGAGAGAACGGGTAAATTACCTCTAGCTGCTTGCCTATTTCTCGTTATAGGGACTTAAAGATATAGGACAGGATAATTTGGTCCTTGCTCAAAATAGTAGCAAGGGTGCTGTAAAGTGGGGAAAATGACGAAAAAGCGAAGTTAAACAGCCAAAACTCTGCAAAAAAGTTTTGTCTACGGTTGGAGGAATTTTTGACCCAGTGAAATTATGTGAAGCCATGAAGTGGTGCTAAAGTTTGTAGAGACCTTTTGTCAACTCTTGTAAAGCAATGAACACGTCAATAGGAAGTCGCGAAAGCGCAAAATGCCACCCCCACCCCCTCTTTCCCCCCTCCCCCCCGCAAAGCTGGTCTGCGTCAGTGCTGTAGTTTTTCATTTCTTGCTTTCTCGTCTTTTCTATAGTCATACTCCTCTTATTTTTATGGGTTCACCTTCCATCACCCCAAATTAAACTCAATATGGCGCCTTTTCTTAGATTGCTTTTTGATCAGGGGTGCTGCAACGCCGTTTGCACGGTTTACCGATTTATCTTCTAGTGTCCTTCCCTATCCCTCCGAAATTCATCAATAATTTTGATTGGCAAGAATGGGAGTTCAAAGCAAAAAAGTGGGGAGGCGGTAGGTGGTCTTCTTAGCAGCTGCTTTGTTCATCATGGCATTTCTTTTGAGCTTTAAAACTAATGAGATTCAAGGAGAATTCCAGGAAAGCTTTCAGAACTGCTATTACGGTAGCGAGGCAGCTGAAGTGTTGCTAAGCTTGTTCACTAATGGTATTTCCATTTTAGCCAGCTTTTCTACCATCCTGACCCGTTCTCCCCAGCACCTCCTTTCAAAGGTGCCCCGAGCGCTGTAAAAAGGATGGAGTACGCTGCTAGGCGAATAGACAATAGGAAATACAGGTTTGTTGGTTTTTGGGTAATATACCTGGTTGTAAAAGAACCTGGTACTGGTATAATTATTGGTACAATTCTTATAATTGATTGGTATAATTCAAGGGATCAACGCAGTAAAGTCCTGGAATCTGACCAATTAGACAGCGCGACGTGTTCTAAGTGAGTTTTCCTTTATTAGTGACTATTCATTAAAAGTACTTTTCATGATCTTATAGTATTGGGCGCAGCTCGGCGACGGGGGGGGGCATTTTGCACTTTCACTGCTTCACTACTTCCGGTTTACAAGTCTCACTCTGGTGAAACTTGTGAACTCTTGTGAAGCTGGAGCAAGCTCGTCTAGCCACCATGGTAAAACGTGTCAACTCAAGAAAAGGCTATCTAGATGGGTCGACACATCGATGGAAGCAAAATGCCCCCCCCCCCCCCTCCCCCGTCGCCGAACTGCGCCAAATATTGTTGTCAGTTGTATTCAGGGACAAATGTAGTTGCAGAAGGGTCACGGTGGTACCACGTCTTCTGTTCTAGTCTGCTTCCTCCTATCGAGATAGAGTGGAATGAGTATATACGCCACTTCCTATGAGCATGCGATTTTGCGCGCGAATTAGGCGTTGAATCACTTCAGAACTTTCTCAGTGAGAAGGTGCAGACGATCAGACATGATGTGGCACGTTCGCGCTGTCCTATATCCCCCCTCCAACTACGTC